ACGCCGCACCGCCGGGCCCCTCTAATGCGCTCTGACGACCGTGCCCGTCGTTAGGGCTACCGAGCTGTTTCGCTCTCGTGGCGTTCCGCGTTATGACGGCGCAGGGTTATGTTGCCTTCGTTTGCATTGTTCGGCCTCTGTTTTCAGTTGTTAGAGAGATGCGACATATGCGCACCCAACAAATGAGAAGTATGCGTACGGCAAATGCAGAAGTTGCATTAACGTGGACGCTTTTTTACAATTTTAAGATTTCTTGTTTTGTAGAGGCAACGACCGTGATCTCACGTTTGTCCGTACCCATTATTTTTGAATTTTAAATGCATAATAATTTGAAAGTGGTGTTGGTACTATTATGTATACGTAATTAATCTATTCATTAATGATGATGCAATGAGCCTTTTCACAAAGCCATTTTGGCAAATGATTAACTGTGATTACGAAATGTGTAAAATGCATGTAATAAAAATGTATCTGTTGAGTTGTGAACATTACTCTTACTGGTGCAGGGCGTGAGATCACTATCTCATTGTTTTATATCATTCATAATGATTTGATGCATTAATAAGGGTAAATATGGCATTGTTATGAGTAGTTTTGCTCAGTAAAAAGAGTGTGGCACAAGTATATTAATTTCCGTATTTTTTTCATTTAATCATGCAATTGACTTAGCATTTTTACAATAATAGAGTGATGCAGTAAACTTAATATTCTTTTATTTCCATCTGCAAACTAAATTGCCCACTCTTGGGGAATGCGTGGGTTACATCCTGTATAAACACCACTCTAGATGTAAAAGTTCATTGCGGAATTCAAAACGCGAATATCCGCATTCTTTTGCACCATGATATACAACAGTAGCCTAGCCAGATGACCTTTTTTTGTCACTGCGACATTAAAGAGATGTTGATTAGTCGCTAAACACACACGCGTGCGTCTGGACTGTAATCTTCGGAAGGAAGGCAAGCAGCATTTTCTGGGAAATGTAACTGCAGACGGGCAACATGCTACTTTGCTCGTTTACCCAATTTATCTCGAGACCGTTCTCAAAGGAGGAGTAAAGCATGGGAGTTGCCACGTGATAAATTTCTGCTACGCGCGACTTCTGGGGAGTTACTCACACGAGGCACATACTCATTCGTCTGCGAACGACCTTCTGGGGGCGCTGCAGTCGGGGCGGATGGATATTCGTGAAACTGACCTATAGTTACAGACAAATGTTTTCTCTAAATGTCTCGCAGCTTAAACCTAGAAAGACAAGGGGAACAAATAATGATAACACTTTCTTGATTTTTTTAATATCTTTGTATCTTTCGATAAAAAATTCGTTTTAGATGACAGTCAGGATCATATTCACACTTTCTTACAAGTGGGTTATTATAAAAGGTCAGAATGTTTTTTATGTAACTTAGCAAAGACAACACGACTGAAGTACTAAACGATTGCCAAATTAAAGGACTAAGCTTTTCAAAGACAATGAGACTATGTTTATAACAACTGTGCTGGATGAGGCAAGCATGTTTATTTCATACATTTACAGAAAAATACCTGAAGTAGCATCTTTTCAGAAGCGGAAGCGGTTAGGAAATAATGTAACCTATTAAAATTTGAAACATTTGGTTCAATAATTTTATAACTTCTAAAAATGTTTATTACCTAGAAATAAAGTGAAATTAAAACAAATGTTTTTAAAATATTTTTCTCTACTATATCATTTGGAGACATGGGTTGAAATTAATTAGAGGTGGGGCAATTTGTACCCCTCCACGTTGGTATTGCGTGCCACATTGGATTTTACGTTGGTCTATCTAGAGTTAAAGATGTGATGTTCTCAGAATAAAGTCAGTACTACTCCAAAACCAGTTACTGCTAATTCCATATATTTTTATGAACAATTGAAATAATTTTAGGAAGAGTCTTAAATGATAGCTTTTGGTGGATCGTTGATTAGCTTTCCTCCGCGGGTTCGATTCCCGGCTCAGGTAAAATTATAATTGTGCGCTTTGCTTACAAATGTCACAGTATCTATTGCTGAATGACGATGAGAAAGCCCACTCTACGGTTATGAAGACCATAATATCGGGATGTGGAGAGATGGCTTCGTGCAAACCACACGAACTATTTATCCCATGGCCGAGAGGCTGGGCAACCAGTGGTCGGCTAAGGCCCATATCTGTTGGGCTCTTGGGCCAAACGACGGGACAGAGTCTTAAATCGTATGAACTCTTTCTCCAAGGTGCAATTTTCATTTATTGTGAAGTATTCTGTTTGTCATGGATTAGTCTCATAAAAACATTTGCTACAATTACGGGACTAACAGCCTTACCCGTTGACGCTCCCGGAAACACTAATTAATCGATCAAGATAATCATTTAATCTTAAAAGTGTATATTTTCTTCTCTTGTGGTAGGCATGTTTACAAAGTCAGCTCGATAACCATATTCGTTCAGCTATGAATATTCATTCATGCACATGGGTATTCCACCCGGTTTTGAGGCGTACCGAGAGTGTGTCATGAGAATCGGTAGCGCTAGCGGCGTAGAAGGTTCGTGATTCGCTTCTCAGGCTCACGCCGGGTCGGTTTTCGAATTTGGTTGTGGAGGGAGATTCTTCATCATTTGTTCTTCACCTGTTCTTTTGCAAGCGTATCCGCCGCGACTGGGGATAACGGAGGGATAGGATATTCCACTGCATACACGCTTCGCCTGTGAATGGCACGTGACGACAGGGTCGGAAATGATCGATTGACGGTGTAGCTCGAGGGAGGGGGGGAAGGAAGGAACGAACGAACGAACGAGGGAGAACGATAAGCAAGTGATAGCAGTTTCATCGCAGATAAGTAACTGAGGGAGTGTGAGTGGTCGAGTAGGAAGAGGACGTGGTTATGGAAGCATACGTCGTAACTTGGGTTCGAGAAGAATGGAGATCGACATTACGGGAGGGAAATATTTTATTTGGATCTGAAAGAGACCAAGACGTTTGTGCGAAGATGTATGCAGACCCGCAATAGTTGGTACGTGTTTAGCACATGGATAAAAGGAAGTCGACATGAAATGGAATCCAACATGAAATGGTAGTTAAAGTAGCCACAGATGTGTACGATATTTGCAACATAGGGAGACACAGAATTGGGTGAAAGAGTGAAAACATCGTGGGCTAGGTTCATCGGCGCCTCGTAATGAAATGCTCCTACAATGTGATATATTCAACAATATTTTATTCATTTCTTAACTCCCCTAACATATTCATTTCTGTTTATTACGTAGGTAGACGTTTTTGAAAAAAAACGAGCTTTCCAATTGAAAAAAATGATGGAGCTTTAGCTGTTTGTCAAATAAATTTTCCGAGTAAGACAGTGCAAATAATCGACGAGGGAAAGCACTGCAGTATCTCTGGTTGGGAGATTCTAGGGTTCCAGTCCCGACAGCGGCAGGATTAACCTAATGTGCTAATAGCCAGGTCGAGTTCACCCTCTGTCAGGAGGAGAATACTAGCGGACAACTGCTCTGATCAGTAGTTTTCCGTGGTTTCTCCGATTATTTGAATTGAATTTGAATTTATGCCTTATTTTACCCTCGGGCCATCAGGCCCGCTCTTCCGCCTGACCACGCAAATTTCGCTACACTCCGTTCATCAACTAGATGGAGAACGGAGGTATTTCTTGGGCGAGAAACAGGCGATTTTTGAATTTAGCTCAGAGGCGTCATTTAGGCTTGAGGATCTTTTACGTGCAAGTAAATCTACTAACATGAGAACATTACTTCCCCTCTGAAGGAATGCGTACGAAGGATCTTTTCGCCCTCAAAAATCCACGGCTTCGATCGGGTTTGAACCCACTAACTTGGGTACAACAGTACCCATTATTGCCAGGTGAATTTCGGAGCAGTATAGTAACAAACGAGCCACGGACCCCGCGAGATCTTTCCTTCCTCCTCCTTGACCTTTTCTCACTCTTCATATTCAAACACTTACCTTCACATGCACTACACTACCCGACATGTCGGGAGACCAGTCGGGAGATAAGAGATTGTCTCGGCTGGGGCGGTGACCTGCTAGTGGGAGATACCTGGCAGGGGAAAATCCCCGCATGCCGACGTGCGTGGGTGCTGGATCTCGCCAGCCAGCCGGGGAAGATCACTGCTACCTTCAGCGATTAAAACATGCACTACACTTACAGACTAATGAATTTAGCTGTTATTGCACCCCGAACCCCCAATCAATCGACGAGGGAGGGGCGGCGGCGACAAGGCAGAAGTCGGAAGGGGAGTGCATGCGTGATTACTAAATTGAAGGCGTGCCTTCCAAGTTCTTCGAATTTCACAAACTCCGACAGTAGCAGGTCGCATTAAAAATTGCATTTCTTTTGCCGCTGGACCATCATTACCCCACAACACACTAGGTGGTGCCGGTTCTTTACAGCGCCATTGGATGATAAGTTTGGAACGCGGTTGTAATTTAATAGCCTGTACGCGTTTTCGCGTTCGAATGCCTCCCAGCCAAATTACACGGTTTCTATACATACCACAGTTACCACCTATCTTTTACGATACCATACGCAAGTCCATGCGTTTTACTTGGATTTTTTTTCTGATGTATATTTTTATTTGGCTTACTATTGTCACCATCTTTGTAGCATTAACGTTCTATGAGATTATATCTCTAGAAATAATTTAATTTATAATAAAACATTTATTATCATTTTAACTTTACCCACAAATGTTTCCCTAATATTCAGTTTGTCTTTATAAATATTTTAATTAATATTATACAACCAAAATTAATTACATTGTAAAAGATTTGGTCCTGGAGAATGAGGAATAAACAGCAACGGTCGTGAGCAAACTCTACTCTTGCTTTCATCGTCCGGAGAAAGTGTATGATAGCCCAACTGCCACACCTTAAGTCGAATATAATTTGAGTGCATTTCATTGGTAAATCCCTTTACAGCAGGCTTGAGAGGATGCGGAGAAGGGACACAGATATGCTTGCGCGCTTCCGCCTCCTGGAATTGCCCTGAGTTGCCTCCGGGCCTCCGCTCCGACGAGACACTCCACTGCCCACTGCTTTTCAGAACTTACTTGCTGTCATAGCCATATCACACAAAAGGTACGTTGTTATATAACGGCAAAGATGCCTACGTAATACCTTTGAAGGGTACTCATTCTGAGGACTTTTGCTTGCATTCTGAGGGGTTTTGCCAATTATACAAATATTAGCACATCACCACGGGCGGGAAATAATTCAAAATTTATTTTCGTCTTGTAAACTCTTTCGTCGAGATAGTTATAACGGAAATTTTGCAACAATATTTTCCTCAGTCCATGCTAATGGTTGTATTTTCAATATAGTATCGGTTCAGAATAGCTTTATGAAAAATGAATTCACTGAAATTGTCCTAATTGACTAAACGTAATAGCAATCCAGTTCAATAGCGTTTGTTTCATGAAAATCTGGCACATTCTTCCCGATCTTTCGCCGCAAAACCCCCCTGAAGTCGTCCCCGAGACCGTCGACGACTTCCTCTTATGATACTTTGTTTTACTGATCATATAATTCCTTTGCCATGTACGTTTGATGACACCTAAAAGTATTGGCTTTTTTTGAAGTGCTGGACTTCTTGGATGTCGCTTTTTGATAGGAATATTAAAATACGCCATTCAATGTACATTTACTTCACCAAGAAAAATCGCAATAACCAAGCAGCCATTTATATCATTCAGTGACATGAAAGTTAATAAGTTTTCTCGAAAGAGTATACCAATTTCTACCTTCGATTTCATTTGACAACAATTCTTCAATGAAACTTTCAGAGTCTTCTTGAAATGAAAATATCAAAATTTGCTAATTCTATACGGCCAGTCGAATACACGCCAGGCGTTCACCTCTTGCTCCGACTAGTTTACTCATGCTGAATGTGAAGCAGACGTAAATTTGGAAGGTAAACTGACAAATATTCATGATTTTTGAAGAATTTATTTAACGGCTATCACAACCGAAATTTCATTGCTTCCATCGACTTCGGCGGAACTTAAATTCAGAAGTGATCCCTCCAAAGCCAACGTGTCTATTGAAATTGCAAATCATTTTCATCCAATTGAATCGAAAAACCTTTATAATCCTCGTGAATAGACTGGAGCTCTTTTACGCTGCTGTACCGTCTCCCGGAATTATTCTTCTGGCCATTGTCGACTCAGTGCCCGTGCGTTCGTCCTTCATAGTCACATTCCATTGAGAGCCGTGCTTCCCAGAGAGCCGTTCTTCATAGAGAGCCGTGCTCTACGTGCCTCGTAGAGGGCCGTATCGGGAGAGATGGTTCAGGGAATCAACTGATGTCACTGCAGTCCCCCTGATAGGGAGATCCCTAGGATCGAATCCGGCGGTTGCAGGATTTTCGACACTAGCTTGTCGGCTAGGTCGAATTCAGTCGCTGTCTGGAGGAGAAATATAGCGGCCGCCGGCTGCGCTGATCGATAGGTTTCCGTGGTATCTCCGATCAATACCAGGTGAATGCCGGAGCAGTACCCTGTCAAACGGGCCACAGACCACGCGCGAGCTTCCCTACCTCTTCCTTGTCCTCTCCTCACCCCTTACACACACACTTGCGCTAACGTGTACTGTACTACTACACTGGCGGGAGACCGGTCGGGAGCTTAGAGCTTAGAGCTTGTCCCGGCTGGGGCGGTGCCCCGCTGGTAGCAGATACCTGGTTTGGGAAAACCCCGCTAGCCGACGGTAGTCCACGCCGGATCTCTCCATCCAGCGAGGAATACCACCGCTACCTCCAGAGCAAAAACATACACTACACTTACGGTACTTAGTAGTCGATGCGCCTGGAATCACTAACAACCAATAGTCGTAGAGGGACCTTCCACGCAGAGGATTTGCGTGTGGAAGGAGAATTCTGTGAACTCTGTAAGTTCGATTACCTAACAATCGTACAGAAACTCAAATTACTAAGCAGGCCTGGCCGGCTTCTACCGGCTTCTACTACTACTACGGCTTCTACGACTACTACGGCTACTTAAATTTCAAATAATTTCTCACAAATAAAATGAAATGTTTAAACACTTCCCAACTGAGAAATACATACACCGGTTTAAATGCCCTGGAGCCGCGTTACGTGGCGCCACCGCCTCCTGGAACCGCCCACACGGCGCGCTGGTGCCACGTCACAGACGGCCGGCCTTCCCAGAGGGCCGCGCATCGCCGCGGGCACCGCCCCACAGCCCGCGTTGCGCGTATCTTCCCACGCGCCAGCGCGCGCCGCGCCGCGCCGCCAACGCCTCCAGCGGCTAAAGGGAGCCGAGTGTGAGGCCGTTAATTAGATAGCACCTCGCCCAGGCGTGCGATAACTGTCGCGTTCGGCCTAATTTTCCGATGGCTGCGTCGGAAGTGGCTGCATGCAGCCGTAGAGATGCATTTTTTTTCTTGGAGCGCCTTTGTAGTTGTACGCGGAAGGGTTTTTATTTGGTTGTTTTCGCACGGAAATCGCGAATGCGTGAAGTTCTATTGGATTAAAACAGGTGTTTACCAAACTTTCTGTTGCTTTGTGAAAGAATTTTATACTGCACTTGATTGGCGGAAGATATTGAAATAAAATTACATCTAAACTGGAGTGATATGAAAATAATAATTTTCTGAGAAAAAAAGGTTTTCTAATTTTTACAGTTCAGCCATGCACATTGAAACATTAATACTGTCCCACTTAAAAGAAATTTCATTCAATCATTCATTCATTCATCAATGATTTATAACTCTTTGAATGACTAATATTAGAAATTTGAATCACTTTACAATACACAATGATGTTTATTCGTTTGAAAGTTTTCGCAATGAATAATTTCGTAATGAGAGATTATCTGTATACATTTCCATATGCGAAACTTACTACAATATTTCCCTGTCATATAATCCCAGAACCTGTACCTGCGAAACAAAATGACTCGTCCGGAAGTTAATTCTGGTGCAGCGTTGAGTCCGTTTGCACCTGATTATCGCGCTCCCGTAAACTCACGCGAAATCCGCGGCGGAAGTGCAGTTCGGTAACGAGATGGGAACTGCGACGTTTCGTTCTGTGGTCGCGTCCTCGGGCGCGCGACAATTTCTGCATTCAACGCCGACGGAGGTGGCGGCGCGACCTCTGTTTCGTCAGAGAGCGGGACGGGACTGAACGAGGTGGGGGGTGCTTGGTGGCGCGGGGCGTGGTGCCGCGGGGAGGGGCTGGGGGCAGTGTGTTGGGGCGGGGCGGAGCGGGGCCGTGTGGAGAGTGGGGGAAGGGAGGGGCGGGGCGGGGCTGGGAACGGGACTGGGATCAGGAATGGATACGGGACGCGACTCGGACGGGACGGCGGGCGAGGTGTCGCGTGGGTCGGCGTGGCAGGACGTGGGTGGTGGGCGTGGCGAAGCGGAGCGTGGCGTGGTGGAGGCGTGGCGGGGCAGGGCAGGGCGGTGCGGGGCGGTGCGGACGGGCGGGGCGGGCGGGGCGGGGCGGGGCGGGGGGGGGTGGGGGCGGGTGCGGGGCGGGGGCGGGCGGGGCGGGGCGGGCCGGTGCCGGGGTTGGGGCGTGGCGGGGGTGTGGCGGGCGGCGGGGGGCGGGGCGGGTGGGAATGGGGTGTGGCGGGGACGGGTGTGGCGGGAACGGCGGTGTGGCGGATCGGGGCGGAGCGGGGGGGGGCGGAGCGGGCGGAGCGGGGCGGGGCGAGGCGGGGCGAGAGGAAAGCGGACAAAGGGAGACAGGAAGCGGCGGTAAGCAGACAGCTGAGAGGGGAGGGCGAGTTTCAGGAAGGTACGTTTCAGTGGAGACTCTAAATACAGAGAGTGCACTTCTTTGGACCGCCGATTCCGCCATTTTATTTCCACCTGAAGGCAGAGTTCCATCTGTGTGACATAATGTGTATTGGGAGTTTCCAGCTATCCAAAATCATTATTAATTTGCTTGAGAATCATCATGCGTCGAATTACTATTGTTTCTCCTCAACTAGTAAATTTTGCCTGGCGATAGTGTCCAGTGGGAGGATGTTAAATGGCGGCGGTTACGTAACTTTCGGCCTCTAGGGACTCTAATAGGCGTGCAGGCGCTGTGCGGGGAAGGCGCTACCAAGGGAGTGGTTAGGACACAACTTTAGGTCTGGCGCAGGCTGCTGTGGTAGAGAACATCCCAGCAAGGCAATCATATTCACCATAACTTAGTATGAAGATGTTAACCTTAAATTAGATAGCAATAACTGACACTCCCTCAAGTGTGCGTATTCAAGAGCGGATCCAGAGGGCGTGGCCCCTACTTAAAATGTATGTGTTTTAAGTCAATTAAATTGTTTGTTGTGTTGGGAGAAAATGAAAATAAAGGAAAAATGGAAGATCGCACATTGAAAAGGAGTGGTTGTCTAAAGCAGAGTTTCTCAGTATTTTTGTCATGGAAGCATTTGAAATAATCTTGAACTTTCCAGTACTCATAATGCAAAGAATTCTTACAAATACATATATTTATTATGTTTTGTAGTTTATGAGAAATTTAAATAACATCAGAAAAATTTAAAGGTAGTGGAAATACTTAATCGTTAATTGCAAAGTTTTTATTTTTTCTCTTCGTCGTTTAAATGCTGTATATGATATTTATTTTCACCTCATGCTGTATTATATCTTACGCAACGACAAGTTTCGCGGAAGCCGGTTGGGGAACGCTGGTCGAAGGCAGCGGGGGCGGAGCACTGTGTGATAGTTGAAAGCAGACCGCCGACGCTGGAGAGGTGGAGTGCACAAGAGGGGAAGCGTGGGCGGTGGACAAACACATTAGATCTTGGTAGTCTTGTCAGTGAGTATTGTTTCCAGAGCGATACATACCAGGCAGCACGGGCTGCGAGAAGTGAATAGATCCACGACGGCGACATCGGAACATGTGTGGGAGTAGAGAGACGGGCTGTCGGAAGTGAAGCCTAGTGCAGATGCGTAGGACTCGCGCGAGTGTGGTGTCTCTCGCATCCCTTTATGGAGCAGAGATTCGTGTTGTTTACCGTGCTAATCGTGTTAGCCTTCACTATTGTTAATGTTGTTTATGAGACACTGTTTGTTTATGGCCGTGCAGTACGTATTCAATAGATTTCATCAGT